ACAATGCCGGAAACCCGAATTAATCAAAGATTCAAGCCTAAGAACTTCAAATTCCAACCAAACACGTTTTCAATCAAAAACCTACCCGAACCTCGTCCGAATGACATGAAATTTTGCAAACACATCCCAAATGACATGACGGAATTACTGCAACTTCCGGAATTCCAATCCGAACCCTCAGATCAAAAACTCACTATCGGACCGGAAACTTCAAAGATTTAAACTTCGGCATTTCAAGCCTAAATGAGCTACGAGCCTCCAAAATACATTCTGAACACGCTCTCAACCCCGAAATCACCTAACGGAGCTAACAGAACCATCGGATTTCCATTCCGGGTCGTCTTCACACTGTTCTGATTACAAACCATTTTTCAACTCTTAAGCTCTCATTTAGGGACTAAGTGTCCCAAAACTCTCCAAAACTCAACACCGAACGTCCCGGCAAACCAAAATAGCAGAAATAACCTTAGAGGAAACAGTTAATGGGGGATCGGGGCGAAATTTCCAAAAACGACCGGCCGGGTCGTTACACAGATTGTATCATTTTGTTGCAGACCTTGTGCTGCAAGTATCATTCGCAATTTTTCTTCCCATTATTTACTCATTTCTGCTAGCTGATTATTCATATCTTTCTTGATTTCTTTAACTTGTTCCTTTGCTTCCCTTTTAACTTCTTCCACACGCTCATTTGCCTCTTTTCAGGTCAGTTCTAGTTGCTTTATAAGTTGTACTTTTGTTGGTCTACCACCAAAATATTCACTAATATTTTTTTCGGGTCCATATGACGAAGATATCCATTTTTTTCAGCCCAAGTACTTTTCGAAGATATCATCATCATTTAAAGAAATTTTTCCTTTTTTTGCTGCTTTTTAAATTGGTCGAATTGAACCTACAATTAAAAAATACAAATCAATTAAATATGTACAAATGTATACTATAAAAGGATATAAAAAGAAAAGAAAACACATCGACATTACAATAACATCTTGTTGAAAAGCATCAACTTGTTTTCCTTTTTTTCTCTTGTGAGATTTCATAAAAACTTCAACACGGGAAGGAGCTTTTCCATTTTTTTTGCTCCTGCGAAAAAATAATCGTTATCATTAATAGAATAAAATATGTGAATATAATTCTTCTAGATTTATTTTAAAATTATTATTATTATAGTGTTCATACCATTTCGTATCTAAGTCTTGCATAACTTTTGGTCCCAATATATGGTGGCAAGGAACGTTTCGATCTATTTGTCTTGTTCTGCGATCTCTTCTTCTGAATAAAAATTGGAAAAAAAAATTAAGAACATTAGCTATAGAGGAAAGGACAGTGATATAAAGAGAGCTTAATATGCCCTTCATTCTAAAAAAAAAATAGTTCTCGTATTTTCAAAATGGATATTGAAGATGACGTTCATCCAAAAGTCAATGAAAAAGAAAATTTGAGGCAACTTACGGACTAAAGACTTATTTGATATTCCCTAATAAATTATCAGGAAGCACTCTATGCCGTTAAAATGGTTACTGACATGTGGTATTAATTAGAGACTCCATTGACAATTACGAGAGCAATTTCTACTGGAGCTGATCACAACCCCCATTGGCTATACTCGTAAAAATTGACAAGTCGTGTATGAAAATAGAAAGACAATTAAAAGTATCATGCCCTTATATAAGAATAGGCCAGTGATAAGAATAGAGCTTAATTTCATTTGGAATCCAAACCTTGGATAACAAAAATAATAATACAGCGTAAAATATAATTTTATATATCTCAATCACACCCATAATTAATTTTCCTAAATAAACTTGAGATCATCAAACTATGAAACATATAATAATCAAAAAAAGCATAAACAAATTATTTTACAATTTAAATACCTGAAAGTCGGCATCACTCAAAAGATTGACCAAAAAAATTTCATTCATTTGCGGCAACAAGTTTAGGCTTGTTGCGTAGGCAAAGTTGGTAACTTGCTTCTGAATCAAAATACTTCTTCTTCAACTTGTACCTACAGTCTTTGTAGAGGTCACTCATTTTACCAAGAATTACGCTTTTTCTTCCTTCGGACACATCAAAATTAAACTTTTCCTATAAAAAATAAATACCATCATAGTTTATGATCATATATTCTAGTAATTGTTAATCCATAAGAAATTATAAAATACTATAGATTTATTAGTTTATTAGTTTTTCTTACCAAAACGATGTCTCGCATATGGTCGATCTTATTTTGCCCAATCTCTTTCCAACCATTTACCTTTAAAGGACAACAAGTTCGACTTCTAACTGTTTGGCCCAAAAACCAAATTAATTTGCTTGCATTCTCACCAATTGCTTGATGATCCTCATCAAATTCTACTGGTAGTTTTTGTCCCTCCTGTAAATTAATTATTTTCACGCACCGTGTAGGACCTCTAGTTTTTCTTTTCACACCGTTGGAACCTAGAAGATTAAACGAAAAATGTCAAGTAAAAATATCGATAGAGGCGACTAAGATCAATAAAAATAATGATTACCTGCTAAATTTGCCGATTCATGTTCTTCCACAACTGCTTCCATCACCTCTTCAGACTCATTACCCCTAGAACTATTTTCTCCAAGAGAAGTACTCATTAAAAATATTATTTTTCAGCAGTGTATAAATCTCAATAGGCCTTTCTTTATGCATTTTATAACTGACAAGCATGTTCTTAATATCTTGATCGTCATGACATTCAACTAGCCCATCATAATCACTAATACTTTTGTCACCTCTCAAATAAAAGAACTTGTCTCCCTCGCAAATATTGTAATTACAATACTCTTTTAAGTCATCCAACAGATCAAAGAAAGATATGAAATCAACATCAATGTTTGTTTTCTTTAAATGTCCACCTACATATTTTCTAGTAAGGGAAAATATAAAATGACCACCATAATGATAGCTAATTTCTTTCTCCCTTATCATGTCCACGCTTCCTAGAAAATTATTGAAGATACATAAGTTAACTAGATACGATTAAAGAAAGATATAAATTTGTCTAATTAAAAAAAAGATATAATAATAAATTCAATATTGCACAATAGTCACTGCAATTAACCGAATAAACAAGTTCTTCTGCATGTTGCGTGAGCAAGTTTTTATTAATAGATTCCTTATATTAACAGAATCCGACTCATAATTATCAATTATGCGATTAGTTCTTTTCCAAAGATCGTTCCTACCAATTTCTGGTTACAAACAAGAATTTGTAAGACACTAAAATACATCATCATAAATACAAATATGAATGGTATTTGCTATAAATACTAAGTATCAACTTTAACTATTGAATAAATCCTCAAAATGTAAATTTTATCAAATTAGCTAAAGTTATAAAGAAAATCAATTTGAGAAAAGCAAGTCAAGAATGACGAATAAGAATTTTTTTTTTATATAAAAGATAAATCATAGCACTAAAAAATCAGACAACTCAATTAAAAAAGATGATTTGTAGCAACAAAGTTTATACATCAATTGGACTTTTAAAAATATTTGTACCCATCATATAACCACATCGTTTTCAATGAGTTTGAAAGTAACACAGAAAAAAATGTATATTTCTTATCTTTAAGATCCCACAAAAAGCAATCATCGTGAATTCGATTCTTAAAAAAATTGAACCAAAAAGTAACAAAAATAATATATGCCGGTAATCTAAGAACAAGAGAAGTTGTCAAAATCTACAAAATCAGACAAAATAATAGAAATTTAAAGGTTGAAAGTGCGAATGAGACAGAGGAAGAAAATAGAACCTTTGCTTCTAGGGATGACAAGATAAGTAATAAAAAATCCTGCCCTTCTATTCTTGGCTTTCTTTTGTGAGTAGTGCTTTAGAATTTTTTGCTCTCTTATCTCTCTAATAGAAAAGGAGGCTTTGATTCAGGACAAAATATTTAGAGGGAAAAATGTGAAGGGAAACTTTCGTTTTTTATTGATTGTGTTATGTGTTTCAAAATTTGAATTCATGATTCCATCCTAATAAAATTAACCAGAGAATGTTTATAGACACACTAAACTAAATATTTTATTGGTTTATAAAATCCATTTTAAAGTTCAAATATCTAGACTTCCTACAGATTTCAAATTAATAAGTAAAATTTAACTAATCTTAAAGTACTAAATATTAATGAAATATTTAAATTATATTTTTATTCAATACACAATTTATTTTTAAATGATAAAAAGCCAATCATATTTCATGTAGAGGTCTCATTCTTTTATAATATAGATTTATACAAATTTAATATGACTAAATATGCTATCAAATTATTTTGGGTGCTAAATTTAACATGGATTAATTCTTTTATATGATTAGAATAAAAAAATTGAAATGCATATTTAATTGTTGTATTGAAACTTTTAAATTTAGATTTAACTTAATATGTGATTGTATGTCCCATATTTTAAGTTAATAAGAAATTTGAAGGCACCCTATAAAATCTTTCTCATATTGATTTTATAAGTATTGTACAACGGATTTATTTCTCAATTAGTACAATTCACACAAGTTAAAATATTGATCAATTTTAAATATTTAAATATTAGGACTTCTTACCTAGCTAGTTTAATAAGAAAAAGATTTAATACTCCCTCCATTCATTTTTATTCGTCCACTATACTAAAAATACATTTTTACTTGAAAAAGGAGTAGTAGTATCAGGATGGCTTGAGCTCTACAGGCGCACGTTAAGCAAGGCAGCTAACGTACGCTTAAGACGATGGCTAGACGGAGATCTCAACCAATTGCACCACCTACGATATCGGAAGAGGACGACGGAGGACGACTGGTAACACCGGAAACAGGAGTGCCACAACTGATAGGTCAAATGCAACTAGTTCATTGGATGACTGGAATGGGAAGTGCTCCAACGGTCATGCAAGCTTCGAAATGCAACAACGATGAGAAGCCAGTGGAAGTAGAGATCTTAACAATGCAGCAAGGAAGTTGAATTTCTCAGTAAATCGAGCAGATCCAACTCAAATGAAACCGACCTTAGCTGATGTGGTCAAAGGAAACAGAGCTTTACAGCAGGGAATGAAATTGGACTATTATGCACCAGTAATGAAGGAAGCAACGAAGATCGTGAGGTTGAATAGAGCGGAAGTTGCAGAGCAAACACAAAAATGGAAGGAGACGGTTATTGGATATGTATTGGGTGAAAATCCTTCTTTCAAAGAGATGTTAAAGTTTGTGTATGAAGTGTGGAATTTCATTAATGCACCTCAAGTGTTTCTGCATGATGATGGCTATTTCATATTTAGATTTAATTCTGATGATGATAAGAATAGTCTCATTCAACAAGGGCCTTATACATTCCATAATCGACTTTTGATTCTGAAGCAATGGGAGCCGAATTTTCAGATGAATAAGGAATTGACTAGAAAAATACCTATTTGGGTGATTTTCCCAGGATTGCCTATACAATACTGGACTCAGGAAAATTTGGGGAGAATAGCCAGCTATCTAGGGAAACCTATATGCTCAGATAGACTGACAGCTGAAGGGGAGAGGATATCCTATGCACGCATGCTGGTGGAGATGGATGTCTCACAAGAACTTCCAGATGATATGCTAATTGAAGAAGAAAAAGGACAGTATAGAGTGCAAACACTGGAGTATGAATGGAAGCCTGTATTCTGTGAAAAATGCTGCCAAATAAGTACTCTTGAAGAGAATTGTGAGAAAGCAGTGAAGAAGAAGGCCAGTGAGGTACAACAAGCAGGAAAATAGAAGCAACAAATAGGCAGAAACCAGATCAAAAAACAGTGGAGGGCAAAAACTATTACTGAACAAGTAATAGAGAAGAAGGGACAACGTAATGTACAAGAGGAAAACCAGCCGAGTAAGAAACAAGGAATGCAAAAAGAGCAGAATATGATAACAACACCAGGACAACAAGACAAAAGGGAACCTGAGCAGGAAATGGATATGCAGACATTTAAGACAGCCAGAGGGAAATAGAAGATGAAGGATAGGACCAATTCACAGCAAAGGGGAGCATTACTGGAGAAAGAGATTATGAACATGCTGAACAAAAATAGGTACAGTCCATTGGTGATATGAGATGATAACAGTACTAAAAGAAGGACTGAAGGGATTAGCCTCAATGAGGAAAATCCTCCATGATCCTTAGCTCATGGAATATAAGAGGGCTTAACAAGCCCTTTAAGCAAAAAGAACTCAAGGCCTTTTTGCTTAACCAAAAAATTGCTTTACTAGGTTGCCTTGAGACAAGAATAAAACCTAGAAGTGGAATGAAAATCAAAAATAAGTTTAACAAGGAATGGAAGATATACTCACATGAAGCAGTGGCAAACAATGGAAGGATTTGGATATTCTGGAAGACAGTTTGGTGCAGGTCCAAATACTTGGGAATACATCTCAATTAGTGCATTGTAAGGTAAAAGACAAGGGATCAAGCTTCTCAAGCTATGTTACATTTGTATATGGGATGAACAAATTGAATGAAAGAAAGAATTTATGGGAGCAGCTAAGGCAGATTAGTAAAAGTATGCAAGAGGCTTGGCTGGTTATTGGAGATTTCAATAATGTGTTGTCTGTTAATGATAGGCTCAATGGGGCAACCAGTACATCAGGGAGAAATAACATATTTTCAGGAATGTATAAAAGATATTGGGCTGGGGCAATTGAACATGAAAGGGTGTGAATGGTCATGGTACAATAAAAGAGATGCTGAGGATAGAATTTACAGTAACATAGACTGGGCATTTGGAAATGCTTCTTGGCTAACTCATTATAGTAGTCTAGAAGCAATTTTCGAATTGCCAGGTGTCTCGGATCACTCCCCCATCATTATAGATACTGAGGTAATGAGAAATCATTTACCTATACCATTCAGATTATATACTGTGCTTCTAAAGCAGAAGAAGTTTGAGGAAACTGTTCAAGAGATATGGAGGCAAAAGGTTGAAAGGTGTACTATGTTCTCAGTATGGAAGAAGTTGCACAAGATAAAGGAGAGAACAAAGACAATGAATAAAGAACTGAACTCACTGGAGAAGACAATAGGAAAGGCTAGAGACCAATTAAAAAGAGTCCAAGGAGAAATGAATGAAGACCCATTAAACAGTTCGTTAATAGATAGAGAAAAGAAGCTGCTGATACAAATTGAAAAGTGGGAAGGTATGAATGAACAGGTACTAAGGCAAAGATCTAGAGCAATGTAGATTCAGGCAGGAGATCAAAATTCAAAGTTCTTTCATGCTCACTTGAAGGCCAGGCAATCAAGAAACAGGATATCAGTAATATTTGATGAGCAAAGGAATAAGATGACAGATACTGCTAAGATAGAACAGGAATTTAGAGGATTCTTTAAGTCTCTATTGGGTACATCAGCTAGAGAACTGCCTTGTATTCATATAGAAGTTGCAAGGGATGGGCCATGTCTTAGCAAAGAGCAACAACACCTTCTTAGTGTCAGAGTAACAGAGGAGGAAATTGATAGAGCAGTGAGAGAATTACTAGATGAGAAGGCACCAGGAATTGATGGATTCCCTGCTGAATTTTTCAAAACCTATTGGAGTGTAATTGGAGATGAAACCAGGAAGGCAATTACAGAATTCTTCATGAAAGGTAAAATTTTGAAGAGTATAAACTGTACTACTGTGACCTTAGTGCCAAAGGTTACAAGACCAAAATTTGTCAAAGAATTTAGACCAATAGCATTCTATACGACCCTCTACAAGATAATAGCAAAGATCATCACAACTAGATTGAAGCTGGTAGTAGATTCTATTGTGGGGACTGCTCAGTCTGCATTCATAGAGGGAAGGAACATTTTGGACAATGTAATTATAGCACATGAATTGGTGAAAGGTTACAATCAAAAAGGGGTGTCTCCTAGGTGTTGTATTAAAGTTGATATAAGGAAAGCATATGACTCAGTAGAATGGCCTTTTTCTGAAAATGATTCTGATGGAATTTGGACTGCCTGTGGGATTTGTAAATCTGATAATGGAGTGTGTGACGACAGTCAGCTACTCTTTGCTGTTAAATGGGGGCTTAACAGAAAAGTTCCAACCCAAAAAGGGACTAAGACAAGGAGACCCTATGTCTCCTTACTTGTTTGTGCTGGTGATGGAATACCTAAACAGATCCTTGAAGAAGCTGAATCAGCCGTAATATCAACGTAATATTGCGGGGCGTAACATTATAGGTCCATATATCTCATGTTTAAGTTTTTATATCAAGTTGGGTCGTCCTATATTAAGTATTCCCCTATGTTTATTTTGGCTAGCTCATGACGGCCCGTTTGGCCCATTTGCTAATGAAAGTACAATAAGAAAGATATGTTATGTTGGTACTCGGTTAAGTAAGGTACCGGGTGCTCTTGAGGCCTATAGGTTTGAGTCGTGACACTAGGATTGAGTGGAGAGGTTCCCTGGACTATGTTCCCAGTAGAATCATTTCATACTTGAAGGCTCAACAGATGGTTGAGAAGGGGTGTTTGTCATATTTGTCCTTTGTGAGGGATGTTAGTGCTGATGTTCCTACCATTGAGTCCGTTCAGGTAGTAAGAGACTTTCCGGATGTGTTTTCTGCAGAACTGCCGGGTATGCTATCCGACAGGGACATTGATATTTGTATTGACTTGGTGCCGGGCACTCATCCCATCTCTATTTTTGTGATATCATTTCGTTGTTGAGTTATTAGACCATGTTATTCCATTTTTATTGATATCATGTGATAGTGGGTTGAGTTAGGTGCCATCACGACGTGTGGATTTGGGGTCATGACATTTGTACTCCCCTTTTATAGTGGATTACTCATCTCCGCCGTAGAATTGACCGAACTACGTTCAATATTTGTGTCTCTTTTGGTATATTTCTCTTTTGTTGTTTGATTTTCCGTCGTTCAAGAATTGCTTTACTAGCATCTGTTTGACACTTGATTATTTCGATCCTAACAAGTGGTATCAGAGCTGTTTCTTTGAAATCTAGACTAGAGAAATGTATAGCTCTATCCACCACAGAAGCCGAATATATTGCTGCCACTGAAGATGCCAAAGAATTATTATTTCAAGGAGTCTATTAATGATCTTGGCTTTGAGCAGTCAAGGTACATCTTATTTTCTGATAATGTAGCAACCTGACTAGTCATTTTGAACATTTGCATTATTTTCGATTGTTTAAGGTCTTGAGTAGCGTCACATGATGTATTATGACTTGCATGTATAGTTCGTTTTGCTTTTCGACGGGTTGGGATTGATTTGAAAGAATGATTCTCAATTTGGAAGCTTTAAGTTGGAAGACTTGACCACGTTTGACATTTATTTATTTGACCTCGGATTGGAGTTTTGATGGTTCCTTAGATTCGGATGGTGATTTTGGACTTAGGCTTATGTCCGGATGCATTTGGATGTTTCTAGAAGGTTTTGGCTTGATTGGCAAAGGTTGACAATTTGAAGGTTTGGAAATTCATAGGTTTGATCAGGAGTTGACTTCGAATTTAACGGGTACAAATTGTTATTCTGGGAGTTAGAATAGGTTCGTTGTATCATTTGTAACTTGTGTGCAAATTTGAGATCATTCCGCATTGATTTGATGTGGTTCGGCACGAGTTTTGGAAATTCAAAGTTGAAAGTTCATTAAGTTTGATTTGAGGTATGATTCGTGGTCTTGATATTGTTATGTGGGATTTGAGGCCTCGAGCAGGTCCATTTTATATTTTGGGACTTATTTTTATGTTCGGACGGGGTCCAGATGGCCTGGGGTGAGTTTCGAATAGGTTTGGGTTGTGTAACGCTCGTATTTGATGTTTCGGCATTGTTTCTTCAAGCATAAATGGTACCACATTAAGAAGATAAGCTCTAAATTATATTTTGATTGAAGCATTAGATCTGTATCGTAATTAGGGAGTCATAGCAAGAAAATCATCGAATTCGAATATCGTTTGGAGGAGTTATGTCCATTTATTGTCATAGAAGATAGTTGGTGTTGGTGCTTCGCAGATGGGAAGTTGGATCTGCATCTTTGACCCCGCAGGTGCGAAAAATGGTCCGCAAATGCAGAAATTACAGCCGGCAGACCGCAGGTGTGGATTTTTTGGGCGCAGAAGCGAAATCCTTGTGTATAAAAAATCTAACTGCATTTATTTATTATTTTGAGCATATCTTGAGTTCTAGAGCTCCGTTTGAGGTGATATTTGCGGCATTCTTAATGTCTTTTTATGGCGGTCAGTACGTAACCTCAAATTTTGTATTTTAACATTCTTACACTAGGTTATTTATGAACTAATCTATATTTTGATTGGAGATTTGTCGATTTTAGCCCTAAAACTTAAGTGAAATTTATGGATTTAGAGGTCGATTTGAAGTTGGATTTGGATTTAGGTAAGTATTTTTGACTTGGTTTTGATTATTTTACATGATTTCATCTTTGATTTTGGTATTTAAATGGTGAATCTAAAAAGAGAAATTGGGGGTTTTTGTCTAAGTTTTTCGAAAGTGCATTATTGAGTTTTGAATAACGATTCGGAGTCAGATTTGAGTGAAATTAGTATGGCTGGACTCATATTCGCATGGATTGTCAGAATTTAAAGCGTTTTGTCGAGTTCTGAGGTGCGGGCTCGGGTTGTCTTTTTGGTTGACTGTGAGTACTTGATTAAAGATTTGACCTTTTTCGTTTGGGTTTGTTTCCTATGGCATTATTTGATGTTTTTGTTTTACTTTTGGCTAGTTTTGAGCCATTCGGAGGTTGATTTGCGCAGGATGGCATTTCTAGAGTATTGTTTGGCTTGCTCGGTATTTGATTTGGCTGTTCGAGGTAAGTAATATATCTAAATTTGGATTTGAGGGTAATTATCCCCGGGAACCATATTATATTATATGTATTGGGGTGACGCACGTGCTAGGTGATGGGCGTGTGGGCGTGCTTCGGAATACTCATGATCCGAGTTGACTTTTAGACTATTACCGGACTTGTTTTGCTATGATACCTTGT